ATTGATGGATGTACAACTGTACTTGATATATTCCAAACTGGTCTTGGTAGATGCTCAACTGTATTGATGGATGTACAACTGTACTTGATATATTCCAAACTGGTCTTGGTAGATGCTCAACTGTATTGATGGATGTACAACTGCACTTGATATATTCCAGAGTTCTTGGTAGATGCTCAACTGTATTGATGGATGTACAACTGTATTGATGGATGTACAACAACTGTACTTGATATATTCCAAACTGTTCTTGGTAGATGCTCAATTGTACTGATGGATGTACAACTGTACTTGATATATTCCAAACTGGTCTTGGTAGATGCTCAACTGTATTGATGGATGTACAACTGTATTGATGGATGTACAACTATACTTGATATATTCCAAACTGTTCTTGGTAGATGCTCAACTGTACTGATGGATGTACAACTGTACTTGATATATTCCAAACTGGTCTTGGTAGATGCTCAACTGTATTGATGGATGCCTAACTGTACTTGATATATTCCAAACTGTTCTTGGTAGATGCTCAACTGTATTGATGGATGTACAACTGTATTGATGGATGTAAAACTGTACTAATGATATTCCAAACTGTTCTTGGAAGATGTTCAACTGTATTGATGGATATACAACTATACATGATATTATACACTGGTCTTGGTAGATGCTCAACTGTATTGATGGACAAACAACTGTACTCGGTGTATTCCTATATATTCCAAACTGTTCTTGGTAGATGCTCAACTGTATTCATTGATTTTCAACTGTACTTGGTAGATGCCTAACTGTTGTTATACAGCAATACATCATACATGCACAACTGTGCTGGATAGTCAGACCAACTGTTTTGAGAGATACAAAACTGTATCTGGTAGATGCATAACTGTATTGATGGATGCATAACTGTACTTGATGGACTCCCAACTGTACTTAAACTGTACTTGGTGGATACACAACTGTACTTGATAGATGACCAACTGTGGTTGATGGATTTCCAGCTGTACTTGGTAGATGCATAACTGTACTTGATGGATGAACAACTATCCTTGATGGATTCCCAACTGAACTTTATTGATTCTAAACTGTATTGATAGCAGTACAGCTATACTTGACAGATTGGTAAATGTTCTATCTTGTTGATTCAGCACATTGTACTTGTATGGTTGACTATAACTGATTGATTCACAACTGTAAAATTCAACTGTTTTGATGTGGGCATAACAGTGTACTTTAAGATGCCCAACTATTTTTTTTGATAGGATGCAAAACTGTACTTCATAGAATTTAACACCTACCATTTGTTTCAATCTAATATAAATATTATTTTGATCATTATGATTTCTAAATCAGACATCCGTACATCACAATTAAAATCCAATTTTCCGAAAGAAAAGTACTGCTTTAAAGCCTAACTCGAGTTATGTCTAACAACGACCACGAGTAGTATAATGATTTTGTGGGTTTAATATTCCACATCATCTATAACCATACTTGGATTAGGAGACAACCTACAGAGGTCAATTGCTCCCATACACTAATTTATACACACATAGGGTTTACTTGATTTGGTTCACAAGTAGTAGTTACAAAAATGACACAAAATAATGTTGGTCATGTTTACATAATTATTCAGATTAAGTCCTGCATCAACCAACTCAAGCCTTGCTTCAACTCTCTGGAACTTCCCATTATCTTCTTTAACACCAGTGGATAGGTGTGATTTAGTGGAGGTGTGGGGGTCAGGAGAGCTTTAACTCTCTGGAACTTCTCATTATCTTCTTTAACACCAGTGGGGAGTTGTGAAGTGGAGGTGGGGGGGGGGGGTCAGGAGGGCTTTAGCAAGACTACAACCAACCCTCCCCCATCCTATTACTATCTACCACAGGATATGTTGAAGTACAGTAGAAGTGGCTGTAGACTACTAGTACTGATCAGAATGATATTTCCCAACATAATATTTTTCACGATGCAAGAAAGGGGGAAATGGGTTATCATTCATTGATGCAAGACCTAATATAAATAGATGCTAGGAACATTTAGAGGAGTATGTCTACTTAAAAATATATACAGAATGAGCAATGCTAATTTCCTATTTCTCATTTTTTCTTATGTTATCATGAGTTAAAATAAGTAATGGTCAGAGAGGTGGAATCTGATTTTAAATTGAAATATACTATTATACTCCATATCATCTTAGTTTAGAAAGCCAAATATTTGAATAAAATACAGGTCTTCAAAAACAATAAACATTTTTTGCTATAATATTTCTCATTTTAAAAATGAAATAACTTTTTCTTTTAAAAATAACAAAAATAGTTCAGAGGAGCCCAAAATTTTTATTTTTAAGGGGTCATTTTTTGCTTGTGAATATTATAACTTGTTTTACTTTGCATCCTAAAAATCTAATTCCACCACTCTGAGTAAGGACCGTCAACACAGAACACATACATGTGAATTTACTTTTTAATGATGTAATGTCATGTATGTATGTATCGATAATGTCTGATTATTTAAGGAAGAGATGTAGATGCAGTGCCCTCTTAAAGGATTTTGTAATTTTTCTCACAACATTTTAAGGATTTTCCTGTTTTTTTAACATGGGGGATTTTATGGAGTACTGGTACTTAGAAATAGTGGAGGAGTATTCTGTGTCATGCTGTGTTTTGTTTTTCTTATCTCAAGAGATATCAATGTGAAGGGCCTTGTAATGGATTACTTTGTGAGAATACATAAATTGGTGATCTCCCAATGTTTTTTTTCCAATGGTTAAGTCTAATTTTAGCTCTGTGTGTCAATTCATGCTTTAGACAGGGCACAGACGTTTGACATGTTGCATGTGATTTATGAATTCTAAACAGTTTTTAAGCAAGTGAATATCCCAGATGCGAGTAGAAATAATCTTGATTTACGTCATTAAAAATTCACAATTCAGTCAAACTGATGTCATATTTGAAATCTACATGTAAATCTACATTTAGAAATGTGGTTTTGAAAAGAGTTTATCAACTTTGAAAATTTTATTTTCTTTAAAAATGTGACTTCTAGGTTGGGGAGATTCCCCATAGAGCCCATGTTGTAAAACCACAAAAAGTGAAATATCTTTTCTTGTGTTGCGCAGATAATATTTTCTTTTACTGGACATATTTTAATTTGTATAACTATCACATACATAAGGGTCATTTGAAAAGTGAACCACTAAAACTGATGCATATTCAAGTTTAAGGGAATTTTGTAATACCCTGCCATGTTATTTCCCCCGAATCAGCCACCTGGTGGCGAAACTGGTAACTACCTACTCGCATCTGAGTAATTAATGGTGAATGTTTGATACCGTGTAACTTTTTCAGTAGATTCTAAATCATTATCAGTTAATCACATTCAATTAGTTTTTTTCTAGCAGAGTGATATGTTCAGCTGTTTCATGAAGTGTTTTTCAGTTACCAATATTGGTGCTCATAACATGTCTGCCATATGCGAATGTAAATGCATATAAACTTGTACATTGAGAAATATGTTGGCATGTGTGCCATATGTAAACTTATAAATTGTGAAATATGAAAGCATGTGTCATATGTAAATAAAGGACCGCAAGTAGTTTGTAAAATGAATCGAGGTAGTTTTTTCATGCATTTTGCTTGTGTTTTTCATCTAAAAAACAGCATCGGCGTCAGAAGGGGAGGGCGTTGGGGGCGACTGCCCCCCTCCCTTATTCCCCAATCTTTTTAGCTAATTAAAGTCAAAGTGTAATGAACAGAAATGCCACAATGTCATTATTTAGTCTACATCAAGCATAGAAGATCTCATTTCTCGTATTATATTTAATTCAATACCATAGTTTCTCAGGAACCCATACATTTTAAATACTTTGAAGAATAAGCTCAAAATCTTAGTTTTTTAGTCAAGCTAGTTTCCTAAAAAAAACTTGTTTTTATCATTGGGAATGTTATGCTGAGATATGTTCAGAATGCACCAGAGAGGGTCTAAATTTGAAAGTTTTTTGGTTACGCTTCACGTACGACCCATCCATATCTAAAAGTCGCCCCATCATTATCATTTTGAGCTTAATGAAAGATTATAGAATAATGAACAAATGGGGCAAATCTTGTGTAAAAATACTTACGATAAATATGTCATTACAAAGATTATTCATTGAATTGCTTCGATTGTCGACGGCGATATGATTTTTGGAAGGTTTCTAAATTAAGAATGTGACGTCACTTCCGAATTACAACATTCAAAATAAGTAGCGTTTAATTACTGCCAACATTCAGAAAACATGTTAGCCTTGTAGTAGAATGCTCGCTTAGCACACAGGCGGCCCGAGTTTGAATCCCGTACTTTCTTTTTTATATTTTTTAACTAAATGATTGTTCTTTGATATTACGCAGAAAAAAACATTTTTTAATTACCATACATAAACTTTATATTAGAGCTTGAAAATGTAAAAACAATATATGTCAACAATATATGTCAACATTATGTCATTTAGAGGATTATCTCTGGATTAAGTCCCAGATATTGTTATTTTTCAAACTTCAGAGGGCTGGGAATCATTATTATGCTGTTTTAAATAGGTTTTATATATGCCAATAATTTCTCAAATTGTGTAAATGATACCCCTTCCTTAATCCATAAAATTTTCTCTTTGATGAATTGCCCATAGAAATCCAATGGTATAGTTTCAAGCAGATTTTGAGATAACAGGAGAGTTAATCATTAATACACACCTTATTGGGTTGTTTTGGCTTATATTACAAGCCAATAAGGTGTGTATTTTAGGATTAAATGGTGCAATCTAATAGTCAATAAACTGTTTTAAAGTGTATTGATGTTTTTTACATGAAAGACACGAGCGAAATGCATGAAAAAGCTCCCAAGATTCATTCTACAAACAACATGTGGTCCTTTGTTAATTGTGGAATATGTATGCATGTGTGCCATATATAATATCCATGTATGTGCCCTGAGTTGACAAGAATAAGACATGAATATCTCACCTGAACTTTGATCTGCTTGATTATTAGCTGAAGTATCTAACGTGTCGTCTCCCATCCAGCTCGCTCCCGCAGTTGAATCTTCATCATAACCCCCTCCCCCATCCTCTTCCTCATCATCATCCAGTTCTATAGTTATAGGTTCTTCTTGCTCTTGTTTAACATTTACATTGTCCGTGTTTTGTTCAGTAGCACTTGGTGTTTCAGGAGTTAACTTTGCTTGTTTGGTAGCAATTTCTTCTTGAGAATCTTGTGTTTCATCGTTGGAAAGAGATCGTTTAATACTTTTGATAGAACTGGGAATATCTGGTTCATCTGGAAATGTGAAAATGTGAAATGTTATGATTGAGATAATAAGGAAAATATGAACCTGACTGATTTTAAATTTGAAACAACATTTCAAAATTGGTGACAAATCGATGATTTAAATAAACATTGTTTTGTATGTAGAAAAAAAATACAGGAAATTTATATTAACATAAATTGAAGAAAGATATTGCCAGTTTTACAGACTTGATGCAAGATAACAAGAAAGTGTATGGTTTTTATTTGCGTAAACGTACCCTTCATAGTGGCATTATACAATTAAAAAATTACTAATTATTTAGTAGTAAATTACCTTTTACTTTGACACTATCTGTGGCCGAGGTACTAAGAGGCCCTCCTGGGGTTTTCTGTGTGGCTATAGGTGTACTGGGAGGTTCATGTGGGGAATAATATGACACTGGTGGTGGCTTAGGTGAGTCATGATGTCTAGCACTATTGTCTCTAATGCTTGTATTTCTATTACGTTGAGGAGTTGTAGGTGGGGGTCGCCTATGCCCCCCTGGAAATGTCTCTTGATAAGCTGGTGCTGACTGATTCCCTGGGCCAGTGTGGGGATAATAGTCCATCATTTGGTTATTGTTTACAGCTAATTGAGGTGAAGACCAACTCTGAGGTATTTGTTGTGGTTCAGGCTCTGGTTTCATGATTGTTCTGTGCATTTTAACAACAATTTCTTTAGCTTCATCACCAGGGGATACGCATATGATCCCATCAATCTCTAAGGACTTGGTAAAAACAACATTCTGTGTGCATAGTTTTAAGACAGCATCTTGTATAAGCTGCGTTAGTACTGCAGTTGAAGAACCCATGATTGCTTCTGTTGATTTAACACATAAATCATTCAGATGCACTAACAGGAAAATGGAGTGATTTGAATTAGTGTCTTGCGGTTACAAACTGAAAATAAAAAGAAGTATGAATTGAAAACAAATACCCTAATTGGAGATTCTTATTGCTAACTTGCCTGACCTTCTTGACATACAGGTTTAATAGTCGATTTTATTGCAATTTTAATTTATTCTAATATTTTGTGTCAATGTGTTAAACGACTAAAACACATACAGCATTATTATTATTATTATTATTATATCTTGGTTACCGCCATATTTGGCGAGCAATACCTCATTGGTATATTCCGTATTTTACGTATTTTACACTCGAAGATAGAGCCAGAAACCTCTCCTTGGAGGAGCCCTGTTTTATTTTATGTGCACAGGTACACAGACATACAGGTACACACCACAGCCTTTTATACGAGTCGTGAACCACTCAGTCAAACACCCAGAATTACATAACGCACAAACAAACTTGTCTGAACCGGGAATCGAACCCGGGGCCAAGCGATATTGGTAACCTTGACTCTCTCTGCCACTGAGCCATAGCGGGTGGAGCATTATATCATTAAACATTCCATATAGGAAAATAACATTGCAACTGGTCTGTAATGCCATTTTGACCAGCAGGTTTCAGATCCTTAGGGCCTACACTGTTTCAAAATGTCAGCTAACAACTTCGCAAATTATTTTCATTTCAATAGCAAAGAAAACACATGTTGATGATGGATTGGTAGATTCAGAAAATCCGCCAAATTAAAAATCTGTAAAATTTCAGTTTGGAAATTATGCCCAATACATTTCAAAATTTCAACTTTTTGGGCCCCTTTTCTCATCGACATGTCATCAATTCTACATCATTCCAAAAGAAATAGGAATTCGTCTAGAAGGAAAAAGAAGTCAATAGAGCAAGCCTTGACTCAATAAGCATAGAATACTAAAAGGAAATCAAGCTCGTAAAGTTAAACCATAATTTTGATCAAGGCCAAAAAAATTCAAGGAATTATAAAGTATTCATAATGTAACACCTCATTAGATAGATTATAAGCACAGAAATACAATGAGATGGAGCTGTTCTCTTACGAATTTTTCAGAAAAATATTCTTCTAGAACTCTTGACTTGTACATTCTAATTTTTTATTCTGTGAACCAGTTCATTGGTTAAAATAACGAAAGAATGTGATATAACCACGTGTCTACTTACCAGTAGAGCTCGGAATGGCATTGGAAAATGGTGACGGTATTACCGCATCTTGAAATCGAACCGTTACCGATTAATCGCTGGCGTAGAAAAATAATCAAAAAAATACTGGAAAAATCGAACTTTTTAATTTCTTACAAACATTTTGCTATTTGTTGTATTACAGCTTCATAAGTGTTTTCTTGTGTATATATAAATCGTATTCATGCTGATTACAATCAATAAACAAAATAAATGTATTTTTACGTTCACATTCACAATAGATGGCGCGCTTATACTTTTGGCCTCGTTTTGAGTGGTGGCAAAAAAAACAAGTTCAGGTAAGTGTTTTTTCAACTTTTAGGACTCTTATGTTCAAATTACACGTAAATAATTAAATATTATACCGTACAAACACACACAATTAAAGAATGAATACACTAAAAAGACATATACTAAAATAAATGCGACTTTTAGACGTTATTTGTGGTACCGATTGATGAAGTATGAATCGCGAATTTACCCGGGGATTTACCGTTCGATGTCGGTAATAAATTTCAATACCGGCATTCACCAATAACCCTACCTTTGCGGCATTACCGACAATACCTCCGAGCTCTACTTACCAGCTTGTTCTATGTCATCCATCGGACTAGGTTACATTGTGGAACGCAGCCAAACACGACACTGAAGGCAACAGCATATCGATCTTGATCTTAGCCAAATTTCGGGAAATTTAGATCGTCCATTTTGCAAGCTCACGTGACTGACACGTGACACGTGTCTGATCACGTGACTAGTTACTGTATCAATCATGTGACTTAATGACGTGTCAATGACGTGTCACCCAACCATGTCTTCAAGGAAAACGGAAGTAAATATTTTGAAAAATGTTTTCCGAGCATTTGCTACTGATTATAGAAGGCCCAATTATGCAACGAACGAAACTGCTAAATTGTATTTTTAGTCTGCTTATTGATCTATTGATTCATAAAGACCTGAAATGATGCATTCAAATAAGACTAAATGAAAACACTAAACATAAGGTGGTGAAAACCAACGAACTTAGAGTCCATTTCACTGCTTCATTTCGTCAGTAGAACGGCAAAAATAAGAAATTGGGAGACCATTGTGCAATAATATATGGAAAAGTATATTCATAATGTACATGAATGACATTTGTATATCTTGGATTGCTTCTAGTTTGGCTTATAAAGTGTGTGGCCTCTTATATTTTCTCTGCCATGTTATTTTCAATAATATTAACATGGCTGAAATTCTTCAAATTACAAGACGGCACAGGCTTATTGCACAAAAAAAAAAAAAAATCTGAAATATACAAACAGTGAAATGGACTTTAAGTTGAAAGATCGCAATGTTCGCTACTTTGTTCAATTCCGGAAATCTCCAAGGGGCTGCAAATGGGAAATTATTTAGATTTAGACCTCAGAATACTGCCTTCAGTGTCATGTTTGGCTGAGTTCCACAATGTAACCTAGTCCGATGGATGACATAGAACAAGCCGGTAAGTAGACACGTGGTTACATCACATTCTTTCGTTATTTTAACCATATGAACTGGTTCACAGAATAAAAAAAATGAGTGTATGACTCTGATCGCATAGGCATGTATATTTTTGTATTGCTGTACCAATTATCTATCAAATGATGTACTTCATTGTTGTTTTGAGATGACAAGGAATTTTTTATTTGATTTTTCAGTTGGTTATATCACAGGTTAGACCCCTTCCCTGTGGGGGTTACTGAACACAGCTGGCTCAAGCTTGGTAGAGTAAGCTAGGGGCGTGTCATGGAATATTTCTGATTTAAATTGCACATTTTAGCCTAGATTAAACGCAGATTGCAACTAAATCAATGAACATCGGTGTTAAAAAAGCAGTGCATTTAGTGCTTTGGGTAATCCAAATACTGCATTTGGTGTTAAATCAATGAATATATTCATACTTACAGCTGTAAACAGATATTCCGAGAAAGACTTTTTGAGATTTCTTTGTTTCATAAATTATTTCCTATTTATAATGACACGCCCAAAATAGATGAATGCAGTATAATAACGAACGTGCAAAGATCTTTCCAGTTCGAACTTTTACAAGTTTCATTTGCTGTCACCAGGGTTACAGGTTAGCATCCCAAGCCAGCCACCCTTGAATATTGAAAATCTCCTGAAAGTACTTTTTTGTCTCAATGATAAACTTTTTGCCTAAAACAATCCTAAAATTGTCTCAATCAACTCGTAGTTGACGTTTTGAGTCTTGATGGGCCATATGTGCCATATGCCATATGATTCTCGCCTTTGACCTGGTCAAATCATGGACTTTGACTTTTCTTACATATGATTCTCAAAATCCTGCCAAATATACCAAGTTGCCATATTTCTAAGCCTATGGTCACCTCAATTGATACACTGTTAGGAATTTTGAGATTTGAATTGTGTCAGATATACGTCAATCAATCAATGTAACTTTGGAAGACCTTTCCAATGATGTATCACAATTTGTACCATATATCTTGGTTTTGGGTATTGAGGGGGACAACACTTTTTTGACACCCTGTATTTTTGATGGCTTAATGATGTACAGTTGCACATGTTAAACAATACTTGGATGTTGTTTACTGCTGAATCAGTATTTAAGTGATGGTTCAAGAAAACTTTTTTGAAAAAGATTGCCCATGTTATTTTCTGGTACAAAATAAAGTATAAAGACATGTATGTATTTCCTTCCTTTTTTCAGGAGATTGAAAATTACCTATTTCTAATAACACATGCAGGTATAGCAATTTTTTCAAAAATGTTTCTTAACCATTGATTAATATATCACACTAAATGGTAAGTGGAACCTGTCTAATCTAAATGCATCTGGGACCTTAAAAAGTGATTTGATAAGTAGGTATGTTCACTTCTATGACCATATAAGTTGATAATGCAAAATACATTTTGGACAGAGAAAAAATGTTCTTATTGAGAGGTGTTCAGACTAGAAGTGTTCATGTTTTAACTGTATTTGACATTATCATCCATTCCTACTCAGTGGTTGTATAAATAAGGGTTATGTACTGGGAGGTTTTGGATACAGGGTTTATCCCAAGGGAAATATGTGTATCTCACGAGGGACCGCAGGGTATCCAAAACCGACCGTACATAACTGGTGTATCTCATACTTGAGTGGGTTTGGGGTAGATATAACCTTTACCACCTTTTTCAAATGACAAGATAGGCCTATACTGTAAAAGCACAATTTATATTTAACATTTTCATAATATTCCTTCAGTTGGTTTAATGGTGTTTGTAATATAAGAATTATGAAATAAATTGAATTGAATATTCCTCCCAGATCCTCTTACTAAAAGAACGTAAATCTTTTTTCCCCGTCCAATCTATTTTGTGACATTAGAAGCATTTGATTGCTACCCAGTCAACTCCCCAGAGGGCTCCAGGTGATACAACGTGGATACAGTTATCACTTTCTGTAATTTTACGATCAAATTGTTGCTTATGTCATGTATGTTATTGTATATGATTTTAGCTAAAGCGGGTTATTGAGAAAATCATATGCATTTATTTTATTCTGTATGTTTGTTTTGATTATGTTAATTAGCTACTAACACTAAACAGATAAACTTCACGATCGTTCATTAGGTGCTTGGAATAAAAAGATTTCAATCACACGTCCAGGGTTTGGGAAATATAACCCAGATAACATTGATAACGAATAATAGAAGTGATAAAATTCCATAGAATGGAAATATTAGGGAGATTAAGCTTGCACATACTATAAAATCGAAGCGGGGATATACACGTATTATCGCTCAAATAACTTACATTTGCGTTTAGGTTGTGAAAAACAGTGCACGCTTAAACTCCCT